GGGCCCGGTGATCGAGGAGGCGGGGCCCAGTGACGGAGGAGTCGATCGTGGAGGAGAAGGAGGCGGACAGAGGATCGGGGCTGACAGGTAAGAGGGCTTGACCGCCCACCTGAGACCCTGCAGAGCCTACCATAGAGAGTCTATGGTGGGCTCTGCAGAGTCACCCTTAGGTGGGCTGTTTGGGTTATCAGGTGGGCGTAACTAGAAATCACAGGGCCCCATGCAAAATTTTGCTATGGGGCCCTGTGATTTATAGTTACGCCCCTGAAGGTGACTGTCCATTGTCTAAAGATCAAAGGACAAGGTGTTGACCTAGGCCAAGGAATGATCTGCAATACGATGGTGCCCCCTGCTGGAGGACTACAGTGCATGTGGACAAATATGAAGGACGATGCCGATTGGCCGAAAGACCTATAAGGGACAGGCGGAATTCTGGGTAAAGGGGTGTCAATTTATGTGTGTGAATGGGTATAAAAGTCCGTGCGCAGCGATATTGCTCTCTCTTGGAGCCCAGCCAGGATATAGGAACCAGAGGACGGACTTGCTGTGTAAAGTATTCTCTTGATTGTCTTATTGTACTTTTGTATCTGTTTGTATCTTTTATTATGTTTAGTTAGACTTGAGTATTAATTAATAAGACCATTGCTTCTTTTAACCATTGTATCGTTATCATCATTGGAAGCAGAGAATAGCAAGTTAGCTTATTTCAGGAAGCCAAGGAAATGTATTTATTACAGCGCCACACATGAAAAACATCTGGGGGAAGAGAGGGGGAAGGTAAGAGGAGAAATCCCCCCAGCTTTCTGCATAGCAAAACAATAAGTTTACTGCATTCTTGTAACTATCATTGTAATCAAATAATGTCAAGTATACCAATATTGTTACACATAGTATAATGTTCTTTCTTACATCAGCGCCCTAATTAGGAAACATTACAGTAGAAAGATTGCGGCCTTGATTGTAACTTTTACACAGCCAGACACAGCAAAGTCTCTATAAAGTCTGCCTGTGTACATTCCCAAACTGACCAAATATAAATTATAGAAACCGATCATCGCTTATGTCCTTCTCATCCCTACATAATCCCTGTATAGATCAATAGACTGAAAATTCTAACAGTCCCCATACAACTGACCATATGGGATATAATTTATCGTATTCATTCTCTTTTCCCTATTTCATCATCAATTGCCTCAGAAGTTTATTCATCCGCACTTCTTACCTGAATGGCATAAAACGTAATCTACTGAGATGGGATCGGGAGCAATTTCTGTTTGATATTAGATGCAGGTCGGTGATCTCTATACTTAGGAAGAGGAAAATGGAGGAAATACGGAAGGATAGAGAGTAGCGGTGAGTCAAGCAGTGAGATATTTAAATTGCATTGAAGAGCTGGAATCTGAGAATAGAAGATTTAAACATTTGATACAATCTGGATTTATTTCTGAGATATTGTATGAGACTTGAACCTGCTGCAAGGATATCAGTTTCCTCCAATCGATGGTGATAGAGCCTATGTATGGAGACCATCTGACTGCAGAAAGATACACATTGGGTGAGGAGTCATTATTGTAAGAATTATATGATAGACTTTTATTGGATAGAGGATGACTAAAGGTTACGTTTTAGGTCATTGGGGCCTCAGAAGACGCTCAGATGAATAAGTCCATCGTCCTTGGAAAGAGGTATGGAGCTATTTTCCTCAGAGTAATGAAAGATTCAATTGATAACCAGAAGGTTTCATATACAGTATATTGCGGTCAATGTCCTTAAAGATGAAAATAGAGGTTTCCCAAATTTGAACAGCTCTTGCAGATATCAGGGCCATATACGAAGCCACCAAACTCTAACAAGACGATAGAACGGGTGGTAGGGTGTCAGCATCACTTACCTGATCATTCCAGAGGATGGCGCTGAAGTTCAGGCTGATCATCTCACCCAGTTTGGCTTCAGGGTCAATCATCCCTACTTTCACCAGGTTGAAGCTGTCATTGGGGAACTGCATGTTGAAGACACCAAAGGGAGCGGGAAGGTCCCCCTGGGCATTAAACTTTATCAGCTCCCCGAACTTCGAGTGGAAACTGGTTTTCTTGAGGTAACGGAGGACCTGTTATATTTTGGATACCAAAAACATCTTGAAAATGTATACTTGTAAAGCCCAACTGTTACAAAATATAACAAATCTTCCCATTTCCCCGGCTGATGAAGGATTTAAAACAGAACTATGACCCAACCTTTTTTTGGCCATAGTTCTCTTTAGGATCATAAGATGACATTTACTATGTCCTCCTGTGACCCAAAACTCGGCATATAGTAGGCTATTGGCCGCTGTGGCCGGGAAAGATCCTGACAATATTGCCGGGATCCACCCAACTGCCTGATTGACAGCTGGCTCTGCCTGTCTAGAGGCAGAGTCAGCTGTGCCCGCCCCCTCCCACATCCATCCCCTTAGTCATCATTGGAGGCCACTAGACCACTGGTTGCCACAGGACCATGGAGTAAGGTCATTGAGTATATGTAAAGGGTTCAATGTTGTTATTCCGTCTCTTCAATTGTAGGGCTAATAAGCAAGCTGTTATCAAAACAAAATGAATGGGAGGCCGGGCACTGCTATGGGGGACATGTGTCATAACATTTCTTTTTCTGGTTCAAAAGTTTTTAATACATTTTAATGAATAAATGAAAGGTATGCACTGTGTAGCACACAATTTACAATGAATCATCAGCTCTCCGTAACAGGACCAGGACAAAGGCTAAACAGTGCATTATGGGTAGATAACAATTTCTGGCCAATATCAGCCAATCGTCTACGATTCAGCCTGAATGCGAATCCCGGTGATCCACCTCAATCCCAGGTTACGGCAATTTGAACATCATTCCTCGTGGATCTGGGTGGACAGATTGACTTGAGGGATTATTGTGTCCTTTAGTGGTGATATTTTCCCATAGTACTTTGTGTCTCCTACAACTCCTGCAAGACCATCACAAGGCGTCACTCACAGATGGACTACCGAATGATGATAATGGGACGGATATCTAAAGTGTTTGCCACCACATATGTCTCAGTAATGCCCGGAGCAACGTTTCTACATTCTCTCTATTATCACTTTCTGTGCATTGTACGGGTTGTGTCAGTGTTGTAATAATTCCAATTCATGAATAATGTGTTATAATCTGAACCAGCCAATCAGCAATCAGCTTATACTTACAATGTGTGTTTAGGTTCTTTTTTTATAAAAGCTGTTGTATGAATGCAAAGTGTAACCGTCATGGTTCAAGAAGCCGTCTGTAACTCACCTTCCAGTGTTGGGCCTCATTAATATGTCCACATGTCCCATGATCATGAAACCAATTGGATCCGGTGTTACAGCCAAGGAGTGAGTGCAGAGCATGTGCATAGGCATACACAGCCAGGGAGGCATGATAAGTGTAGCTGGGATCATTGGTTTCAAATAATTGCGCGACCTTACTGCCCAGTTCTTCCTCCCCAGTGCAGGTCGCCTTTATATCGGGAGTGTTTGACCGCTCACTATCTCCAGCAGTCCACTGGCAGCTGAAAGCTTTCTCCCAAAATGGCCTAATAAATGGATATCTCACATGGCCAGTTGGGTGAAGGTTCAGAAGGAATTCCTCAAACCCCGGCATGGTGCCAGTATGGGGACTGAGTCCAATTGTCCCATTTAGAACCTTCCAGGTTTTCCTGGAGAAAGCTTCAACAGAAAGTCCAAAGTAGTTGGAAGTAATCAAAATTTTCCCAGTAACTCCCTCATCATACAAAGCTTCTAGCAGGGCCTTCATATGGACGTCCGGGCTGTGCACAACAATCACACTGACGGAGCTTCTTTTAATGACGTCCACCACTCTCTTGATTTGTTCATCTGAATAACTCTGGGGGACCTTCTCAAGAAAAGCAACACAGCCTCCGTTCCTCTTTATCCTAGCCTGTATAATCTGTCCACCCTGATGGCTAACATCGTCGTCTGCCACCAACATGCCGACCCAAGTCCAACCAAACTGGCCAACAAGGTCACCAAGAACCCATATCTGAAGTAAGTTGGGTACCGTGCGAAGAAATGATGGGAATAACACTTTATTGCTGAGAGTTGGAAAGGTAGCCCCAAAACTTATCTGTAAAGGGATTAGCAGAGTGAGGAAGGATTCAAATGTATTAGAATGTATGTCCATACCTTCCTGCTCTAATGCCAGCCATTCCTCCCCACTGACTATCCTGGGGTCACAGGGACTGGAAGTTATGGAAAAACTCCCCATGATGGGGGTCATAGAGAGAAACATTAGACCATGTGTTTCAGTATTACAGATGGGTGGTTATCTGTATGCCAAGGGTGCAGTCAGTGTCCATGCTGGATGGAACATCAAGCAATTATAGGCCAGACTACATGAAGAGTGAGTTGTTTCCACTGGAAGACTACAGACAACCGCCCACTCCTCCTCACAAATCTCCCCTCCTTAGTCTCCAAGACTCTGCTCTTTCGTGGTTTTCCTTATATCCATCGCAGCACACCTTCACTGTCACCTATAACTCTACCTCCACCTCTCCTCGCCCTCTATTAGTAGGGGGCCCCCCAGGGCTCTGTCCCCGGACCCCTTCTATTCTCTATCTACACCTCCTTCCTTCCTGGGTCAGCTGATAACCTCACAATACCATCTCCATGCCGATGTCAAATCTATCTCTCTATTACTCAGCTCAGCCCCCTCGTTCTCATCGGGCATCACTAATTTACTAATGGCATCTCAGTGTGGATGTCGCATCTCTTCCTTCAAACTCAATCTTTCAAAAACTGAGCTCATGATATTTCCTTTATTTACCCCGTGTCCCCTCCCCCGACTTCCCCATTGTGAGCAGTAACACAATTATCAGAACCTCAACACACGCCAAGGTGCTATGTGTAATCCTGGACTCTGACGTCTCCTTCAAGCCCCAATCCAATCACTGACCAAATCTTAATTTCCGCAACAGTTCCAAAATTCGTCCCTTTATAACAAACGACACCAGAAAGCTTCTAATTCATTCTCTAGTCATCTCATTGCCTCAATACCTGCAACTCCTTTCTCATTGGCCGACCTCTACGCAGACTATCCCTCCTTCAGTCTACCATAAATGCTGCCGCCAGGCTCATCCACCTCACCAATCGCTCACTGGCTGCCACTCCTCTCTGCCATTCCCTCACTGGCTTCCGTCCCTCACCTCTCTCTGCCAATCCCCCCACCGGCTTCCATCCCCCAGCCCTCTCTGTCAATCCCACCACTGGCTTCCATCCCCCAGCACTCTCTGCCAGTCCCTCCAC